CCCACTCGTGTCGTCTTGAGCTCGAGTGGTGATAGAATTTGAACACGGACACACGCGGCATGGCCAATCGAGGGATGAGTCTGATGCGTGCGGTCAATTGATATCAGTTGAGTCAGTTGCGTGTTGCAAACTGTAGTCACTCCCATACCGGTTACTGTCGACCAGTTGAGGAGGCTCTGCTACTGTAGTTCATTGTTGGTTACTGTAGTTGGACAGTGACATGGATAGATGATCGATGGAAATTGTCATTCACCAACCATGTGGCTCCAAAATCGCTGCAATTGAAGCAAATGCAATCGAATTCTAAAGAATGAATCATGAATCGTGCGCGCACCCTGACCGGAGAGTCCTCATTCTCATCCTTCATCGTGTTCAGTGTTCTTTGAGCAATTCCTCCGAAGTTCTTGACTCTGGTCACCTTGGAGAGAGATACTGAGAGACTGAATACGATAATATGACTCATGCCCGTCGAGGTCGATCGATGTCCGGCGATGTCAACGATGACCAATGTCCGTCGTACTCAAAACAATGAAACATGAAGAGCTGCCAGCAGTCTTTTGCGCTCAGGGCCATTCAGGGCTCACTGGTTGATTCCATCCGCTAGATTCCAAAGACCCAATCATTTGACTGGAGTCGATTAAAAGCCCCAAAGTGATCTAGATCAGGTCCGTATCTTGCAAGTCCCAGTCCTCCACTTTGGTTAATGGGGACCATTGGTGGCCGTTTCAACCAATAAGGATTCAAAACCATTGGGGACCATTGACTCTGCGATCTTCCTCACTTTGGCATCACATTAGAGCTCAAAAGGCAATCGAGGGGGTCTCAGAAATGTCCGGAGTCGTCTCAAAGCCGAAATCTGTTCCTGAGTTTCACATACGCACTCATTGACATATCATTGTTCGTGCGCAACAAAACTCAAACCGAAATCTGTTCCTGAGTTTCACATACGCACTCATTGACATATCATTGTTCGTGTGCAACAAAACTCCAATACTCTAAAGACAGATCATGAGCCAGGGCACAATCAAGGCCTCCAAGTTGTTGATAAAATTCTCCCTGCAAGGATCATCTTCACCATCTTCATTGCGGTCATCAAAGTACCGTCCGTCATCCAAATCGCCTAAGAGAATTCCTTGACCTGAGTGCAAGCTGACTGACTTCCAATCTGATGGTCAACAATTGAACAGTCCGACGGACAGGCAGAATGCAAAATCGATGGGCAGAGATGGAGGAACTTCCAAAGCAACGGACTAGGAATGATCTTAGACTCATTAGCCCATTGAACATACAGTCCGACGAGAAAAATCACTTAAAGTGACTGAATCTTATGCGCTCCAGCTGGTCGATGATGAGATCAAGGGAGTTGATGACCGCCTGCAAAGCCGTGCGAGTTCGATGGGACGATGGGGAACATAAACTTCAAGTTGAAGCTTACCAGCTGGCCTCAATCTTTGGCTCAGCAGAGATAGGGGGCATGCTGAAGTCCGGCGAGAAAGGTCAATGTCCGTTGGGTCCGGAGGATTTGAGTCAAAAGCTGCGGTCCAATGGCAAATGAGAAGGCTACTGGTACTACCTGCCACAACACTATTTTGAGCAAAAGACTCCAGAAACATGCCAGGCAGACCTCTGTGTTGATGAAGATGAGGTAGAACGAAGCACAGCAACAGCAGCAACAGCAGTAAAAATAGGATGTCCGGCGAAGCTATGTATTATGAATATCCCAGAGTCAATTTTTACCCAGAGTCTGATTTAAAAAAATTGCTGATCTAATGGTGGAGAAAGGGAAGGGATTGGGCCCTCTGCGCGCATGACGTTCCGCACCGACCTCGATGCTCAGCACGAGTCAAATTGCTTGAAATTGCATTGGAATGCAGGATGGTCAGTTAGCTTGAAAGTGAAACTCGACTCAACAATGTGTGGCTCGCCTCTCTTATTGCGAAATACTGCACCACAAGAATCTTACCCCTTTGCTGAAATGTCTGGAAAAGAATCCTCTGTTCACATCACAGGCAAGCCGTCTGACATCAAGAGCCTTCAGGAAGAACACAAAGAACATGTAGAGCAAGAAGTACCCATTGGAATAAACAGCCTGGCAATTGTTTATGTTCAAAAATTAAATGGCGCCCACCTGAGCTTCGCCATGCTCGTATGCATGTGCATGCCAGCCACACTCCTGGCATGAAGGGCGCTGTAGGTACCGTCACGATGACAACCTGAGTGGAGTCAGTGGTGCACCAGCGCACTCCTGATGGCCTGATGACAAATATTAATGCTGTCATCAGGTCATCTGATGTCATCAGATGTCATCTTCTGATGTCATCTGTGCATGTTGTTTGTGGGACAGCCACAGCTGTCATCATGACAGAGGTTGAGATCTTTGATGGACTAGACAGCTGACAGCCTGACAGCTCTGAACAGGTGTAAGCTTCTGGCAAGTCCTTTCGTAATGATCATGTGGGCCAACATTGTGACCATCGCAGCACCAGCCTCAATGCTGGAAGTCTCACTGAACCGTGTGGACGATGCGAAGAACCCGAGCCCTTCTGCATCCTTGCATGTATATAGCAGCTTCCGTGCTGCTCCTTGCCTTTTACTGCTAGCTGCTGCTAGCTATCTTACCTACGGTCTACCGCAAGTCTACCCCACCAAAGGGAAAAGAGGATGAATAGATCTGAATATATAGCCTCCTGTCAGAATCATCGGGACGCTCGGCCAAAATGGCCGAGCCACCTTGAGGCTCAGGCAGATTCGGAGAGCATCATGCGTCCCACAAGGACGAAGCCCTTCAGAACAAACGAAGTACAACGAGCAGTTTAGCAAATACAGTTGACGAACGAAAAACATCCAAGAACCAAGTTCTAGAGTCTAGAGCAACTTGACTAGCAGCCGGTTTCAACTGCCTGCAGATTGGTGCAAACAACCAGTTCTGGAAGGGTGTTAGACAACTCGTCCAGGTAGCCACTCGCCTCGAATCAACTCACGACTTAGACTTGAGAGACAAAGGGTGGACAAAAGGTGGTTTGGTGGAGGGAACACCATTAAGGGGCGTGCACGCGCGCGAACCCAGCGAGCCAGCAGCAGCAAACCAGCGGACCAGCAGCAGCACCACCAGCAGACCAGCCGAAAACCAGCCACAAACCAGCAAACCAGAAGCAGCAAACCACGAGGTCAAGCACAAGCATTGCGAGCAACGTAAGAAGTCAGTGAGAGGATGAACATGAGTGGGAAGACGACGTATGAAAACGAGCGTGAGGACGAGGACAACGCTCAAAAAGAATCATTATTAAGAATGAGGAGGTGAAGCTGAGTTGCATAAAGTAGAAAGGCGCCAGTGAAAGGAAATTGAGACGTGGCAAGGGGGGTTGAACACACGGGGGGGGGCGGCCCATGCCTTTAACGCATACTTGTAGCGTCCACTTTGCAGCCTTTCTGCTGTAGACAGGTGCATGTACTTTGCGTTCTTGTCAATTGATGATGCAAAAGGCTGCACAGCGAGCGGCGGTGTGGTGGTTGGTCCATCGGCCACATCCGCTCAGCCGGCCCCATCGGCTCCGTTGGCCATCAGGCCAATCGGCTCCAACACTTCAAAACTCCACTTGCTTATAGCGTCCATTTTGTGGCTAGCTCCTGTTGCTCCTGTTGTCCTTTCAGCTGAAGTCATGGCAGGGCTGCTTGCGAAATAGATTCCAAGTGCACCCCAAACTCAGGTCATTTGGGAGGATCCCCCAAAGCGGAAGCTATATTATTGAAATCAGGTTGCCGGAGGCAACCTTTAATGACTTGATGTAGCTTCCTGGGACTCTCCAAGGCTATCACCATATCAATGCTTAAGAGGCCTCCAGTTGCAGCAAGCACCTAAGGCCACTGGGAGAAGCCGAAAGGGGCGAGTTGTTGACTCTAGATTGAAACGAACAAAGACAGAACACCCTCAAACTTGATGGCTTTTTCGCAGAAACGTTGATTGCTAAGATCAGCACAAGAAAGTACCAGTATGGTCTGCACATTCACGAAACTCAAGGTCATTGAACATTGACAGAATCGCTGAGCTACTGAATGTGCACTTGCCATGCCTTGTGCGCATTTTGTTGGAGAAAAAATCCAAGGGATGGTAGAGCTCATCTCCCAAGAAGTTGATGAATGCAAACCATACCTTTGGAGATCCAAGAATATATATATTGTATAAGCTTTGCAAAGCACCCATTCCTTGCTTGGAGTATCACAGCGGCCACACCGGTTGTGCCGTAGGCTGCATAGAAACACACCTGAATTGCATCTTCTGAATGCATAATGTCATGTTGCAACACTTATATATGCAAAACCTACGTTGCAGGATGGTGTGAGTATGGCGGGCTTAGCTGCGTGCCCGTGAGGATTGCATCCAAAAGTTATGTCCATCATCATTGGACTGCATTCCACTCTGATGCCTAGCTTGTCTGTGAGATTTGAACTGTTCTGCCTCTCGACTAAAGACTCAGTTATTTTTCAGCTCTTATTCGCTCTGGCAAAAGCACCAGAAGCTCGTGAATCCAGACATCGGCTGAACAATTGGCTGGAAGCTGTCTTAATGCATTTCCGCGCATTGACATAAAGAACGAGCCCAGGTCTAGCTTCATTTTCCTCAACCCGGTGGGCCAAGAGTGTAAGAGCGCAACAGGCCCGGGCAAACAGCTTTAGAAATGTCAACACAAATAAATGGTGCAATTCCAGGAATACACATCATTTATCAAAGACTTTGCTGGCACTTTTTGCATGAAGGCTGAGGCTGAGTACCGATCAAGATTTCACCCGCAACGCGCTTTGCATTGCGAAGAACAACATCTTCTGGCAAAGCTTCTAGCGCAACACAGAACTGTTGCACAACGTGCTTTGTACAACTTGGCAAGCTTCGCAAGCCTTCTGTTCTGCATCGATTTCCATCATGATGTGTCCATGCGGGGGTCAAGTCGGCTCTTCATTCACGCCACTTTCTCGAACTCTGTCATCCTCCTTACATTCAATCCTTATCCTCTCTTCAATGTCCTTTTCTTAGCACTGTTCCTCTGTTCGCCCTTTGTGCTTTCAATCCTTGACGACGGCAAACCCTCACCAACCGATATAAAGTTGAGGAAGCAGCGGTCCTTCGCTTCTTGCATTTTACTCCAGGACCCTGCAGCAAACTTGTTAGTGTGTCAAAGTAACAATATCTCTTCTCTCTGTATATAGTCATAAATAAACTTGGTGGCCTTCATCTTTGACACTGGTGTATCTTCTGAGTACGTCACAACCTGTCCATTCTGGATGCAATCACACAACTCAGCTTGAACTCTTCAAGGCCAGGTGATGTGCAGCGTAAAATAGGTACAGGACAGAATCTTGAAACAGTAGAAATTGTGTAATGGGAAAGACGTTGAACCTGATGCATGTCTGCAGTTCAACACAGGTTCCCGGCCGTAGCCACCTCCGAAAATGCCTACAAGTGCCCTCTGTGTGGCAAAATACATGTATATATCTGTATATGATGTAAACTGTACAGCACTCAGCACTCCAGCCAGTTTACCAGAAAGTGTTCCAAACTTTTGTGTAACGTTCAACTTCTCTGTGTTTACTTTCTGATGTTGCCTTCATTGAAGCAGAATCGGAAGGATTGAAACAGTTGAAGGCGACAAGACATCAATTGCATGGCATTACATGGGTTGAGCAAAGCAAATAGTACAATGTACAGTATCATGAGGTGAATACAAGCACAGTTCCCGCCTTGTCCAATGGATTGAAAGTCACCCCTCGTTTTCTTGCTATGTGCTTCTCTTTTCTTGTCGGCCTCAAACACATAACATCATCATCAAGTTGAATATTTCATGAAATCACTTACTGTCAACTACTAATGTCAACCATGGCATTCTGCAGGACTCTCAGTGCATCCAAGTTTAGACTCAGGCAGCCACTCCACAAACGGTTCTTGATCCGTAGTTGCCTGCAGAGTCCGACAGGTGCAAAACCCTCCTGGATGCAATTGAAAACATACACAAAATCTCCTACTGAAGCTATGGCACAAAATGTGGCAAGATTCACCGGATGCCTTGGTCGGGTTCCTCTTGTCATTAGTGTGCTTCCCTCCCTGCGACAGACTCGGCAACTGCCGCAAAATGACGTTATAGCCTTAATTTCGTTGTCGCAGCCATGTGGCGAGCAGCTACATGAAATGCAGGAGCATGGGCGAAATTCAACCATGAAAAGGGTACACACATGGTCTGGTCTAGTCTGAGACAACGTTCTTGTGAAATAGAACAACTGTTTCTATTCAAGAAGATTCGACTGCTACACATGTGCATACTGTTTGGGCCTTCATCTTTGTACGTCGCTGGGTCCTGCAACTGTCGAATCTAGCTTGGTACAAGCCCCTACTTGAACTGAGTTCATTCTGTGACCATGTTGCAAATCCCTTGATTTTTTGTATTATATAATATTATATATATCATCGATGTGTGTATGTTTTTTCTTTGTCTGTTCCCGAAAGCACCTGCGAAGGGTTCCGTAAAGAACGGCTGCCAACTTCAACTGTCTAACAATAGTAATAATAATAATCATCATCATCAACCATCAAGGTGTAGAGATGCAGGCGGTGCAACTGCTACAACCCACCAAAAGATCGTCATCACCATCATCATCAAGGTGTAGAAATGCAGGCGATTGGTGCAGCTGACACAAAACGCCTACGGGCCTACATCGTCATCAACATATCATCAGCATCATCAAGGTGTAGAGATGTAGTTGAAATACAGGTGTGGATGTACAGGTGTAGAGATACAGTTGTTGAGGTACAGGTGTAAACACACCTGATGTAGGCGAAAACACCTACAAAACTCACCTATTACACAACTACAATTTCGACATCTTTATAACCCTATTTTCTTAAGGCTACGAAATGCGACCCTCTGCGGAGAGCGTGCGCGTCGGACGCGCAAACCGGTGGTAATATGCGAATCGACTTCTTTCACTCTTTGCGGAAATCCCGCATCGAAATTACCGAACTGTGTAGTTGTCGTCGAACATGAAGCTGTAAGTTGCCAAAGTGTGTAACAGTCGTCGAAAATCGCAGATCAGGCTGGAAGTTGCCAATCCATTGGGTGGCAGTATCCTGTCTAAGAGTCAATAGAAAATTTTCTGTCTATATAGTTAATCTACTTTTTACTATTATGTCATACTTTCTTAAGGTAAGTCTTCTGTCTAAGCCCTTGAAAATGCAGAACTAGTGTCTTGAGCTGACAAGAGAAGTTATTGATGAGAGAGAGAGATGTGTTCTTTGTTGGAAAATGTGTGTTTACACACTACACACATGCTCTTTATGGTTGAAGGAATGTTTCTATTCCCCAAGCAGTGTGTCCACACTGGGGGTTCTTACGGTAGGGGGTTCAATCAGGGTACGCTCTCTGGACTCGGCGTTTTGGCAGGCCCACAGAAAAGTTCCGCTCTGAGATTTCCAAGTGCAATTTCTCTGCGCAGGATCGCGCGAAACGCTGGCCCGGGACGGTGCTTGACGGAGGTGGTGTGCATGTTTTGCATGACTTGGTGATCACTTTTCGTGGCAGGGGAAACCTCGTGTCTTGGTGGTCTAAAGTCGACTTTTCGTGACGGGCGCAGGAGATCGGAGCATCAAGCTCAGATTTTGTGGCAGGCGCACTACTTTGGACATGGTGGTGGTCTTCGGAATGCTCTGATTTCGTGGCAGGTGCAGTGAATCGTGACTTTGTGACATGTGACTCGTTTTCAGAAATCATGGCAGGTGCTGTACTTTGTGGACCTTGAAGTGCACATTTCGTGGCAGGTGCAGTACTTTGTGGGCCTTGATGCGCAGATTTCGTGGCGTGCGCAGTACTTTGTGGATCTTTGAAGTGCAGAATTCGTGGCAGGCGCAGTACTTTGTGGACCTTTCCCACCCATCCACCACCATCACCACAATGCGTCTAGATCTCTAGATTTACACGGACGATTGGCGCTAAAAACAAACGTCTGAGCATGGCCACTCACCTTGGGCCCTTCGGAACCAACCGGATTCCAGCCTCAAAAGTGCCCAAAATCATTTATGAAATAAGGCCGCTAACATCAGAGGAATTTTGCATGGATCTGATATATTTTGGCAAGGCCCTTGATAAATCAGAAGGGGCACATTCCATCCCCTAGAAATTTATGTATCTTGGATCTTGTCACAAAATGATTTCGCAAGCTTTGGCAACTCTGCGTCTGCCCCACTGTCAGCCCCGCAGCTTATATGTGTTTAAGCTGTTGTCTACGACTGTACCTGCTTGCACGTTGGCCATTATAGCCAACTTTGTCTAGGCACTCCCCCATAGGTGTAAATGATGCATTTTGTTGGGATGCTGCAGGGCAAGCCCTTGCAACTTGCGGTGACAGTATTCTACAATATTGATGTGTTTTGAATCCTTAGATGACTGCAGGGATGCTCACCAGGTCTTGGTCCGTTCTTCAAGGTATGTTCTTAGCTTGTGCCACTTTAGCTGCAACGTTTGCCAGGTCAGGTCCAAACACAACACAGCATCAAACAATGGCGGGGTGATGAAAATGAAGATTAATGTCCAGGGCGCTGACCTTTGCTGCTGTCCACCTGCTTGCATGTTGGCCCTTGCCATTTTAGCCCACAATCTTTAAACAGGTTTCAAACACTTTTCATGTTTTCCTGTAGATTCCCTAAAACACCTCCCTGGAGTCTCCACAACAAAGCTTTGGCTAGAAACAGCCTTCATAAAACAGGGGGTCCAACATCTAGCTTCCAAAGACATGTTTTGTTCAAAGGAAATCTCTGGCTAAAATCCCTCCAATAAAATGGTGGTAGCCAACATCAGGAGCCTAAATCCAGACCCATTTTAGCCAGAGCATTTCATCTTTAGCCACCACATTTGGCTTCCAAAATCAGGCCGGTTCCCGGCTAAAATCTATACTTTATCAGGGAACCAAACCACCCGAGTTTAGCCTTCAAGCCTAGGTATCTCAGTAGGAAATTTCACAAAGAACAGGGCAGCCATTTTTCTAAGATTTGGTGCGGTTCTGAGGCATGAGCAGGTTGCATCCTGATCCTGTGGTTTCAGTGGTCACTTTCAGAAGTGCCAGTTTACGGACAACAAGGAGTGCAATGATTTGGTGCCCCTCCTTCGCCCACCAGGCGGAAGCGTGTCATGGAAAAGTGCACCCAACGAAGAATGTCTGGATGGGAATATATCCTCATTGATGAAAAAGTTGCTCAGCATCAGCCCCATTTGTGTCTTTGCGTTGCTGAAGAAGGCTGCGCACAAGGTCAATACAGAGCACAGTGGATGCAACTATAGCAAGAAGCATGACACAGATTTGTTGATCATTTAGATGAGCAGATCAGGGTTGCAGCTCACCAGTACAGGACATTGAAAAAGGATCTTAATCTTCTAGCACAGAAGAGGCTTTTCAAGAAAGCTTCTTGTAGATGAAAGCAGTGAGGTGGAAAATGTCCTGGCCTTGATCGAATGGCCAAATGGGGGTGGAGGGCCGAGAAAACGCAGCAAACGACAAGATTGTCAGATACAGCAGAGGTCGTTTTTTCTTTGACACCGTTGGGGGGCAAGCCAGCTTTGATTGTATTTGCTTTGCTTTGTTGTAGGCTGAGCTAGTCCTGCAATGCTTGAAACTTGTCTTGCGCACCTTCTCTGCAGCCTTCTTTTTGGCAGCTGGCTTCTCTGGCTTCTCCTTGGTCTTCATCGTTCTTTTTCTGTTCTTCTTTGGTGCTTCTGCAACACTCTGGACAAGCCATTTGGACAATTCCTCCTGCTCATCTTCCAGCAATGCAGGAAGCGAGCAGGAGAGACACCTGTACAAGAAGAAAACGAGGAAGGTTGCACCTTGCAAATAGGTTCTGAAACAGAAGAAATTATTCTCCTCAAAAGCCTCCTGAAAATCTTTGGCGGCGCTATTCACTTCTGGAGGAGATGGTGGCGCAATCACACCCACGCTCTCTCTTTCTTGGGGCACATGGCAGCAAACATTGACAGTGGATTGGCTGGTTGGGGAAGAATGAAGAGGAGATTGAAGAATTCTGGAGAGAGGAAACACTAGCGAGGTGAGTTTTGATTATAACAAGCAACTTCACTGCGCAGCTTCATTGTACCTTTTGGCGCAAGAAGCGCAGCTTTGAGAAGCATGTGTCAGCATCAGCTATCAAGGTGCCATGGTTTAAGTTTAACCTCAAAGACAACTAGTATAAGTACAAAAAGCCAGGCCACAATGAAGTACATTTGCTGCAATAGCACGAGCCAAACAAATCAATCTTCAACTACAACACACACACACTCACATTCTTCCAGCAATAACGAAGACTTCTGAAAAGCACTTCACAGTCACACAAATGTATGTTCAATACGTTTCAGAAAATACAACAAGTTTCACTTGGGCAAAGGTTCTGCACCATGGAAGAATCTATGTCTCCAACTTACCCTATGGGCTGCAGCAACATCCGTCTATGCTTTTTGGGCTGGAGTTGGTGCTTAGGGTCCCAGCATTCATAAATCCTCTGAGACCTAGCAGCAAGCCCAACCAAATCCATCAATGCAGTGATCCGCCACAAATTCTACCCTGATTTTTAGCTCTTTTGGTGGTCTGCGCAGATCACAGGCAAGTTGCTTGCTCCAAGCGATTGGAGTCATGAGGAAGGATTTGGTTGCCAAAGCGCCGTTGATAAAGAATGCTGCTTTTGTAAGGGCAAGGGATCAAAAAAAAATCTATCAAAAAACAAATATAATTCAGGGGATCAAGAAAAAACAAAAATGAATCAAGAAAAATAAACGGACCCAAACGCGTGGAGGGAAGCGGAATAGTCCAACTCGAAGCAAAAATTAGAAGAAAAACAAAAACGCATCAAAAACAAAAACTAAAACTAAATCAACCTACACGGATACCTTGGATGGTCCTGTAGGGCCCTTGGGTCGAGACCAACCTATCCACCACAACGGTCGGCCTCTGCCCTCTGTGTTCGGTTCGAAATTGCCAAGAATTCAAAAGATAAGGTGTTTCAGGTTTGGAGATTCAAGAGATCACGGTTGAGAAGCAGGACGCCTACATCTACAAAGATCCAAAGGCCTCGACATCCAGACAGATCTAGTGTAGAGGTGTAGAGTCTAGAGACCCACAAAATCTTGCATGGGTTCAGATCCAGCTCTTCCAAAATTTTACTGGCGTGCTAGAATGGAATGGCTTTCTGCCCTCTAAACTTTACTGCTGTACATTCGGGTGGCTCACAGAAGGGCGGCGCCGCAGCCGCGCACACGGATTCAACTCAACTGCGCGCACACATTTTATCGGCGCTTGTGCCTCATCTGCGCACACACTT